TAAGTCAACCCATTTAATTTTTTTCAGACCACTTAAATGATATTTATTTCATATATGATCTTTAATTCTCTATAAAGCATGATATAACAGTAATTTTTTTGTTCCCCTTTAAGTTCTGAGGATGATACATCAAGCGGCTCCCTGTCAGTACTACACTGTGTATAAGCTCATTGTTTTGGTAATTCACCAAAAAGCGCATAAAAGGGCGATTAGAAATTTGGAATGTCACATTACATTCCAACAAGGAGATTTTGTCAACTGCTTGAATTGCGAATGTCACTGTTGGAGATATCACTATAAGTTGAAAGTGGTAAACAGGTATATACAAATATTTACAAAATAACTAACCTATTGGATAGCTATGGAACATTCCATTTCGTAATTTGAAAATCCTGTTATTTATGAATCTAATCAAAAACACCTTAGGGGTGAAAAAACTGTGAAGCCAAAAAAAGACTGAGTGAGGAATGAAATTAAAATTGGTGGCCAAACTGGTAACTACACTTATAGCATTGATAAGAATTTTACAAAAATTTATTCATTCAATAGTTAGCCAGGCCGTGTTTTTTGTTCAACTTGTGGCATGATGGTGGGTAACAAAATACATGACCTAGTTAACTAATAAATGAATATTTGCAGTACAATTCTTATTAATGGTATAAGTGTAGCTACCAGTTTTACCACCAATTTTGATTTCATTCTTTTAAGTTGCACACTCAATCCTTTTTTGGCCGCACTTTTTTTTTCACACACAAGGTATTTTTTTTGTTAGACATTGTGACTTTTTGTTAATACCCACCAACAAACCACACCAAGTAAGAAAGTGACACTCAATAGTAACCCACATTAGCTTTAGAATCGCAGCCCTAATATTTGGAACAGACCTTTGCCTTACAGAACCAACTAGATTCTTTAAAATATATGGTGGTAGTTTTTCCTCTCTAAAAAGTATTAATAACTTCCTTTATAGTAAAGAAACTGTGAATCTAGATTAACACTCGGTACAGCCATATCAAGCATCATTATTTATGCTAATTTAAGCTAATATCACATGATGCTAAATGCTCTTTAATTAGGAGAATTTCATAAAATTTACAAAATTTGTGCTTAACAGTTAGCAATTAATAATGAATAATAACTGTCCACCTATATAATTATTTTGAAAACTTGAGCTAGAAATTGCTAATCTAATTTGTTTGGCCTAACCAATATTTATGTATCTGCACATGCTTTTACTCTATAGTTTAGCTTCTCTAAATCAGCTTTATTTAATCCAAATGACAAGAAACTAAAAATGGTCCACTTTTAACCTTAGGTGAAGCTGTTGTAAAAATTTTATACTGATAGCTCACATGACTTTTTGCATAGGCGTGTACAAACGTTTTGGTCAAAATTGAGCGGTTTTTATTGAATAGCTTTGCACATGTGGCTTATATTTATACCAAATCTGCCACCTAACTGTAGGTTGTAAAGATCTATTAGTGTACCAAATTTGAAAAAATCCATGAAAGTTAAGTATGTTATTCTATAAATAAAGTTTCCATTATTTCAGTGTGAAGAAAAAAAAATAGGAAGAAATTCAATCAAAATTGGAGATTTTACATTGTGTGTATTTCTTAACAGATTGCCTTGAAATTTGGTATGTGAAGTAAGGGTCCAGTAGAGCACATCCACTCAAAATATGTGATAGTTTGGATTACCACAGTTTGAGCTACAAAAAGTGGAATACTGTTAAACTATCACTCCTGTTAATAACACACAGTGTGTCCTGTAGGTTGTTTTGGCAGCAAGACACACTACCATGCGTCTTAATATGCATAGTTCCAAGTAGTTGGAATTGCTTCTGAATGAGAAAAACTAACTATTTTGGGTTTTTCAAGTAGGAAGCAAACAAATGAAAAACAAGAATCACAGAGGTGGGAAATTGTCATGAACAACTGCCCATTGCACCTGTAACTAACAGAGGAATGTATACAACTTGATCAACAGTAGGAGCTAATACTTCATGATTTTATACAAAACTGTCAAAAGTGACAGTGTATATGTTGAGATTTGAAACACATTCAACGAAAGCATGTGTCGAGCTGTGAGTTGATAAGTTTTAAATAATTCCACCAGCACAATGTAGGTCTTCTTTATCATGATGCATTTAAAGTTGTCATTTTATTTTATTTTTTTAAGGTTGGAAAGTCAATCATTACACATGCAATAAAGATACAATTACGAGCATTTTCTTAGTAAGGATAATTTTTTTTTAAATCTTTTGGCAATGGGTTTAAAGATTCCCCTCTTTACAAATAAAACTTTCAAAAGCTGTCACTTATTTGACCTTTGGTTGGAATACTTCCTTTGGAATAGAAAGTGGTTTAGTTCAAAATGAGTAGAGTGATAGCAAAAGTCTTCGAACTTATAGCTGAAATCAATGATGAATTTATGCAATGAACCTTAAAAATTTGTTTGTCTTTCACAATGGCCACATAAAGTTATGTATCGATCATGTACTAGCCACAAGGTCAGTTCCAATTTTTATGTTTCATTTGTTTTTTTTGCATCGCACATTTATCATTAGCTTCAACCATTTCAAATCTATTGAAGCTTCAACATACATTCTCTGTAGTCATTAGAATTTTTAAGGTTAAACTGTCAACAATACTACACAATGACATCGTCAACTTTACTTTACATAACTGGAATCGTGATGATTGTGCACTATATTTATCGGAAATCGGTAATTTCTGATTATGACATGATTGGTAAAACAGTAATATTATTTTTTTTTATTTTCATTTTGGGCTAGTGCAGTCTGCAAAGTTGAATTCAAACGTGTTTGCACTAACATGTCCAAACAATGTACATGCAGTAAAGTAGATTCACCAAAGAATTTACAAGTTTGCAATTACTACTTGCCTGTTTTTGGAAAGTGTTAACAAAAATGAACTTGTTTGTACATCTTCCAAATGTGGGAGCCCTGATACAGGCTTGGCATCATATATTAGAAGTTAAAAAAACAGCATTCTGATTGAAAACAGCAGTCATCTTTACAAAAGTTAAAGGACCCCCCCCCCCCTAATCTCCAGCCCTACACTCAGAACCAAATACAAGTCACCGCCCTTTGAGAGTTTGCAATAAAAATGAAGGATTTGGAAATAAAACTACAGAAAAGGAAAATTAAAAGTTTTGTTGACATTGCAAGTCTAGTGAAATTGAACATATAATATAAACATTTAA